AGTAGCTTGGGTATAGCTTGGGTCTGCTCCTAGTGTCCTGCGTGACAAGGTTGAAGTCTTGAACTTTGACTATGGTTACTGGAGCAGGGCTTGTCTCTTTGCATATGTGTACACAGAACCTAGTCTGATGGGCCTTGAGGGGGCACCCATTGAACACTGCCTAAGGAAGACATCTGGGATGAGAACTCCCACTGAAGTCATGGCATGAGGCTGAACCAATCCCCTTATTTGTAGTAGTTTCTCTTTAGGCTGAGTCTTTTTTCTTTGTTCTTATCCCTTTTCTCTATCCACCACCTGGAAGAAACTTGCAGGCACTGCTGTGGGACGTGTGATCATGGACAGGGTCAAAAGCGCCTCAGGCTGATCCTGGAGCATGTGGATGAAGGATCGGGCCCCATCCCCGTTTGCAGTGCGATATTGGAGGAATTGTCTCTCTCCCTGGATAGCTGGGGGAGAAGAGCGGAGCCTCATGCTGTGGTGGCTCTGTCTGGAGGGCAAGATCAGGCTTGCACTTGTGTCTCAGGCTGTCAGGAATGTTGCGAAGCCGGCTCGGAAGCTACCATGATTGTGGAGACTGTCCACATGCCCAGGGCTGCCCCCTAGAAAGAGGAATTGTCTTAATTATGGCAAGATCACTCCAGTGCTGGGTTTCAGTTGCCTGGACAGATGTCATGTGTCCCCTCCCTTCTGTGCACAGTGGGGCTCATGCAACAGAAATCTGGGGGCCCTACTCTGTACTTCTGCTGGCAGCAGGACTGAAACCTTTCCCATGTAATTACAGCTGCTTTGCAGGCGGCCCCGTGTTCCTCTGCACCTGCCTCTTCTGTCGAGCTCATGAGCCCTGTTCCGTTGGGAGACATCTGTGCCGAGTTTCCTTTTAACCTGGCTGGGAAATGGAGCCCTGCTCACCCCCCTCCCTGCTGAATTTTAAGCTTTAAAAATATTCTGCCTGAATCAAAATCTCCTCTCCCGCGAGTGGAAGCAGAAAAGGGAAAGAAGGAATGAAAGCACAAAAGTGACCGGGGCGGGGGCGGGGAGTCGACAATTGCACGGGTCAGTGGCAAGTCCCTGCAGACAAGTGAACTCGGGCTCATCTGAAACGTAGCACCCCCAGAGCCGATAATCCCTCCCTCATCACCCCCTTCCCCGCAGGCTGGGCTGAGGAGGCAGAGGGTGGCCATGACCTTGGAGAGGCTCACGGCAGCCGGGCGGAGTGATCTCCAAGGGCCCTTGGGGCTAGATCCCAGGTACTAGACCGCCGCCAGTGCCCAGTACCCAGTCGGGATCCAGGGATTCGACAGCACCGTGGAGAGATACCGTACGCTGAGCGTGTGCAGGGGTGCAAGCATGCCGGGGCAGGTGCCTAAGCGCCACAC